AAATAATAATTCTTAAAAGATGTGGATTCTTAAAAATAATAATAACAAAAAAGTAAAATATTAATTAAAAGAAAACTTTTAGCTATATATATTTTATAATTTCGTTTTTTGTTTTCTCAAATTTACATTTCTTAACACTGATGCTCCTTGTGGTGATAGCAGTGGCTGATTATATTGATATAGGCTTCCATAACTTCTTATTATTAAGAGATATTTATTAATCTTAAAATACCAAAAAGGAAACGCAAGATTCCCCGCATATTATGGGGTATTGGTGCGCCCTCCTCTTCTCCGAAAGGGATGGTGTCTTCGCCTCTACGACAGTCATATCGTAGCAGCTTCGTCCGCCCATCCAGCTTGCGACATGTGCAGAAGAGAGTAAACGTCCTTACTTAAGTGTGGCGTGCATGTCCCGTAGACTGTATGCCTTGGCGGAACATTTTTCGTATTCTGGCTACAGGAAATCATGCCAGGCTGCCGAAGGAAAAATCCATAAGTAAGTATTTCGAAAACTTCCATTATAATCACCCAATCTACTACAGTACCAAGTTTTTTACGTGACTAGATTGTACGTGCCTTGGCTAGTGCCTAAGTACTCCTTTGTGTTAAGAAAAATCTGTTTTTTTATTGATAATGATTTTATTCGTGCAGTTTCTGTCACAGAAATAATTGAAGTTAATAAGTATCAAATAGCGTGCAAAGGAGACAGAGAGAGAGAGAGAGAGAGAGAGAGAGAGAGAGAGAGAGAGAGAGAGAGAGACAGAGAGAGACAGACAGACAGATAGAGATAGAGATAGATAGAGAGAGAATGTCTAAGGGTACACGCATGATTTTTTTTTTTTTTACTGCTTATGAATAGCAAGGTTGATAGAAAATATTCTTTTAGTATAAAAACACACATCTGGCGATGTTTTATATTATTATGATTAAAAGTTACAAGAAATTGTATAATAACAAAGCTTTGTTAATCTTCCTATTGTGTTGAAAAATTTTCCCGTCCTCCTGCCCCCCTCCCCCTTTCCCATCCTCCTACCTCCTCCCCTTCCCGTCCTCCTGCCTCCTCCCCCCCCTTCCCGTCCTCCTGCCTCCTCCCCCCCCTTCCCTTCCTCCTGCCTCCTCCCCCCCCTTCCCTTCCTCCTGCCTCCTCCCCCCCTTCCCGTCCTCCTGCCTCCTCCCCCCCCCCTTCCCGTCTTCCTGCCTCCTCCCCCCCTTCCCGTCTTCCTGCCTCCTCCCCCCCACTTCCCGTCCCTGCCTTCCTCCCCCCCTTCCAGTCCTCCTGCCTCCTCCCCCCCCTTCCCGCATCCTGCTCCGCCCCCCTCCCGCCTCCTGCCTCCCCCCCCCCCACTTCCCGTCCTCCTGCCTCCTCCCCCCCACTCTTCCCGTCCTACTTCCTCCTCCCCCACCTTACCCGTCCGCCTGCCTCCTCCCCCCCTTCCCGTCCTCCTTCCTCCTCCCCCCCCCTGCTCCCGTCCTCCTGCCCTCCTCCCCCCCCTTCCTTCCTCCGCTCCTCCCCCCGCCCCCCTTCCGTCCTCCTGCCTCTCCCCCCCTTCCGTTCTCCTGCCCCTCCTCCCCCCGTACCCGTCCTCCTGCCTCCTCCCCCCCTTCCTTCCTCCTGCCGTCCTCCCCCCCCACTTCCCTCCTCCTGCCTTCTCCCCCCCTTCCCTTCCTCCTGCCTCCTCCTCCCCCTTCCCTTCCTCCTGCCTCCTCCCTCCCCTTCCCGTCCTCCTGCCTCCTCCCCCCCCCCCCTTCCCGTCTTCCTGCCTCCTCCCCCCCTTCCCGTCTTCCTGCCTCCTCCCCCCCACTTCCCGTCCTCCTGCCTCCTCCCCCCCCCTTCCCGTCCTCCTGCCTCCTCCCCCCCCTTCCCGTCCTCCTGCCTCCTCCCCCCCTTCCCGTCCTCCTGCTCCCCCCCCCTTCCTATCCCCATTTCTCACAAAGCTTCCAGTGGATTATTTATGTAACATTATCATGTCTCACCTGTTCGTATTCTTTCTGTGCTATTTTTTGGCATTCTGACAATATGCACCACTGTTTCATCTGCAGAATCACATACTCTACAAGTTGAATCATTATCATCACCATTATCATCATCATCATCACCATCATCATCAACATTACCATCATCATCACCATCATTATCATCATCACCATCATCATAATCATCACCATCATAATCACCATCATCCTCATCATCATTATCATCCCCATTATCATCACCATCATCGTTGGTTTGTTGGTTTGTTGGTTTGTTAGCAGCGTAGCTCAAAAAGTGCTGGCCGGATTTCATCGAAATTTTGGGGATAAGTTAGAAAGGGACAACTTAGAACTGATTGGTGACATTCCGAATTACCGTCTGGACGCAGCAGCGGTGGCCTTTTTTTTTCTTTTTTGAAGAAACTCCGAGCTGTCTGATCCTTTTCATCCTCAACCAAAGGATATATATTATATACGCACATTGGCGGAGGTCTGCACTCTCTGAGTGCTTTTCTAGTTAGTATTATTATCATTATTATTATCATTATTATAATTACCATTATTTATTATTGTTGTTGCTGTTGCTATTACTATTATCTTTATTACCATTATCATTTTTAATGCAATTATCATTATTATTATTTATTACTATTATGATGATGATGATGATGATGATGATTTTCTTTATCATTATTATAATTTTTATTATTATCATTATCATTATCATCATCATTGTCATTGTCATCGCCATCATCATCGTTATTATTATTATTATTATTATTGTTATTATTATCATTATCATTAATATCATTATCAATGTTATTAGTATTATTGTTGTTATCATTATTGCTGTTATTACTATTCTTATCATTATTCTTATTATTATCATTCTTGTCATTATTATCATTATTGATATCATTTTAATTATCATTATTATTATTATCATTATAATCATTATCATTATCATTATTATCTTTAGTTATAGTTGGTCATTATAATTACTATCATTACTATTATTATTAGCAATATTACTATTCTTTATTTTTTGTTATTATCATTATCATTATTATTTGCATTATTATTGTTATTATTATTATCATTATCATTATCATTATTATTACTATCATTATCATCATCATTGTTATCATCATCATCGACATCATCAGTATGTAAATATGTATGTATGTATGTAGGTATGTATGTATGAATGTATGTATGTATGCATGTATGTATGTATGTATGCATGTATGTATGTATGTATGCATGGATGAATGTATGTATAAAAGCTAAATACAACTTACCCATCCATCCAAGAGCGTGGGGGTGTAGCTCAGTGGTAGAGCATTCGACTGCAGATCGAGAGGTCCCCGGTTCAATCCCGGGCGCCCCCTCAAATTAAATTTAATTGACAT